TAGTGCTTACTATGGCACCCAGCTTAAATCCTCTCTACCATAGCAAACAAGGTTTGGTCCTGGCCTTCCACAAAAGCCTCATCTTTCCTCACCTGAGTGAACAAATTTCAGCTAAAGAAGCAGAAGGTGAAGCTGGGCCAGATTCTAGAGAATGATTAAGAGATCATCGTACATAATACGGTCCATGAGCTTTTAAATCAAGGGGTGGCACAGCCACAGATGTGCTTTAGTAAGATCATTCAGGTTAACAGATGATTTACTGGATGAAGTCAGGAAGAGTTAGGGAGTTAGATGAGAAAGAAGTTGGAATGAGCTGGGGATTTAGCTCAGTGGTGGCACTGCCTGCCTTGCAAGCAAAAGGTCCAAAGTTTGATCCCCAGTACCAAAAAGAAAGTAAAAGAAAAAGAAAAGACAGAAGTTGTGGCCGGGGTGTAGCTTGGTGGTACAGTGTGTTCTTAGCATGAGCAAGGCCCTGGCTTCAAGGCCTATCATCAAAAGGAGAAAAGAGAAAGAGGGTAAAAGGGTTTGGGCATTGAGTGACAAGGGTTGAAAAGAGAATAGTTAGCACCCATACAATAGTCCCAATATAAGTAGAAAAGTGGAGGAATAGTAAAGAAATACTAAAAGCACTTAATTTTTGTAATGCCTTGCAATATCCAAAGTGCTTAATTTATAACTGTGATTCTCAAGCCTAACCATGTATTAGGCTGAAGTAGAGGAGTTTCAAAACAAACCAATTTTCAGAGATGGGGTTGCGGCTCAGTGGCAGAACACCTGCCTAGACTTAGGTTCAATCCTGGGGCAGTGGCAGTGGGGGAGGGGGAAGTGTTGGAATTTCCAGGCCTTACCCTAAACCAATGTCAGAAATACTGGGATTTTCTCAGTTTTGCTTGCTGTTTTAATAGTGCCTGACAATGTGTGGTACTCAGCTTTGATAGTGGCAGTATCGTAGCCAATGAGATTTATCCAAAGCACGAATATTGCTACTGAAAACAATATGTGGTACTCAGAAGACATCTGTTGAATGAATGAACAATTATATCATTATTACCTGAAATCCAAGAAACATACCAAACTCCTGCTCTTTTTTTTTCTTTTTGTAATAAATAAATCTTTCCAATTTCTAAAGTGCTAAAGATAAATTGTGGATCTCAATAACAACTAGAAGATACTCAACATGTGCTGTGAGCAGGGAAAGAAGGCTTAGGCAGTGTCTGATATGACAAGAAATGAGGGGTAATGGGCAGACACTGGCTCAGACCAGCTCTAATCTCTATGAGATTAATCATATTGTGATTAATCATATCATAAGGCCTGGAGCACAATGAGAAAGCAGTTATACATTAAAATTACCTTGCTCTGAATATTTGAACAAAACCCAAATGTACATGCATACCTATATGTTGTTCTTTTCTAATAAGTCCTTCAGTGTATCTTTTCTGGATCAGTCCAAAGCAATTCTTTGCTTTATATATTTGAAAAAGTGATACATTTAGATGGATGAAAACTATCAGGTCAGATATTCAAGGAGCCATTTAGAAAAGGAATAAGGAGCACTAAGTTCTTGGAAAGAGCATTTAAAGTAGCGCAGAATCACAGTATCTTAGAACTCTTCTTTGTTGCTGTTTTTTTTAGACAAGGTATTACTACATAGGTCAGGATGGCCATAAGCTCACAATCCTCCTGCCTCAGCCTCCCGAGTGCTAAAGCTATAGGCATATGCCACCGCACCTGGCTTGAGTACCCTTTCATATCAACAACCCTCTATTATATCACTGACTAGTGGCCATTCAGCCTTGACTGAACTTTTAATGACAGAAATTAAATGCTCCCAAGACAGATCTGGACAATTTTAATTGCTATAGTAATTCTTTCTATCAAATTCAGAATCTGCATCACTACTACTCATGGGTTCTGGCTCTGCCTTGTGGAATGGTACACACCACAGTCCACCTCCTCTGTCTTCCACTTGGCATATTCCCCAAATACATTATATTTATTCTTTCTAAATATCTCTTTTCCAGCTTCACCTTCTTGATTCACTCCTTTTAGAGATCCTGGGAAACTTAATCCTAAGGATAAGATAAGTAATGGCCATAGATTCTGAGTATGGGCAGGGCCAATGAAAGAGTTTGGAAAACATGCCTGTATAAAGAGACATCACTTGCAGTAACCTCAGCCTCTCTTCCACCTTCATCTTCTATTCAGATTTCTCAACAATGCATTATAGACACTCCTTCTTTAACGATCAAATTCAGTTCCTGCAACTAGGTCGTTAAATGAATTGGTTGCTAAATGAGGAACTGTATATAAGATGTACATTACAAGATTCAGAACCAAGAGACAGTCAAAGGAAACTCCAACTTGATGACTTTGCTTTTATTTTCCTAACATGCAATACTGTAATATATAACAGAACATAAAAGTATAGCACTGTACAGTACAACTGGCAAAAATTACAGTACTATATAAACAAGGTATACTGTACCCAAAATAGACATTGAGGCTCTATAAACAAGATGTACAGTCAGATCATGAGAGGAATGTCTGTATTCATACTGGAGGCCAAATTATTCTTTGTTGTGGGAAGGCTGTCCTGAACATTATATGGTATTGGGCAGCATCCCTGGCCTCCACCAACTAGATGCCAGTAGCTCTTCCCTAGATGAGACAACTAGAAATGTCTCCAGTCATTTTAAAATGTGGAAGGGAAAAGCAAAATCACCTTCACTTTGGAACCATTGCTTTCTATCCATTGACTGTTCACCCATCACAACACAAAACTCTCTCCTCTCCTGGTTTAACAGGAAACTCTCTAAAAAAATTCTATTTGTGTATCACAATGGTCCAAGTTTTCTAATGGTACAATCATCTGTATGTCTGTGAGGGATTGGTTTCAAGAACCTCACAGATACCAAAATCAGAGGCTACTCAAGTCCTTTAGTATAAAATAGCATACAAGCCAGGTGTGGTGGCACATGCCTGTAATCCCAGCACTCTGGAGGCTGAGGCACGAGGATCACTGTGAGTTCGAGACCAGCCTGGGCTGCATAGTGAGTTTCAGGGCAGTCTCATGTCTTAAAAAATAAAATAAAATAGCGTACAACCTCCATACATCCACCCATATACCATACTTTGAATCAAATCTAGATGACTTGCTATACCTAATACAATATAAATTCTATATAAATAGTTCTTACACTGAACTGTTAGGGAATAGAGGGCAAGAAAAAAAGTGTACACGTTCAGAATTCACATTTTTTTTCCTATGTGGTTCTGAGGTTCAAACTCATGTCTTTGAACATGCCACTCTACTACTGAGCTACACCCTCAGCTAAGTATTTTCAATCCACAGTTGACTGAAACCACAGATGCTCAAAGTGTGGACAAGGAAGGTCAACTCTATTTGACGAAAATAAAGCACTTCCTCCAGATGTAATCAATCCAAAACATTTACCTTATCTCCCACCACAGGCACTTCAGACTACAGAAAAGATCTGACATTCATTTTTCAGATCTGTTCAAAACATTTGAATAATGTAGTTCTTTCTGTTTGTTTTTCACAACTTGACCATCTGGATTCAAGTCAAATATTCAACTTGACCAGGGCTATGTGAGATAAGCCACATACCCGATCACTTCAAAGGTGTAAAAGGACCCTTTCTGAGCATTGTGATACCTTATCACTACTATTCAGCAATTCAGGTATCTGAGAAAGCACTGGAGGTGAGCGGGCTGCAAATAGGTTCAGAAAAAGCCAAGAAGAGTGACACCGAAGCAGAGTGAAACTGGGCGGGGGAGGGCGAGGGGGAGGGGGAGGTGTGTGTGAAGAAGCGATGACACCACTTAAAAGAAACCCTGACGACCATATGTCTTAATTCAGACAGGGAATAAACTGAAAGCTACTACCTTGCACTGGCACTAAGCCCAGATTTACAGAACTGACCCCCGACTCAGCCCCTAGGTCTACCATTCATTCAGACTCTCAGTAAACGTGTATTACCAGTCCTTGAACGGGATCCACACATGGGAAAACATCGCCGCACCCCTCCACCTTGGAGTCCGTAGGGGGGAGATTGGAACTAAACAGGCTATTGCAGAGGCAAAGAAGACAAAGGAGAATCGTAGGGATTAGGAACCCAATCGTCAGGAGCCACCCGCACACCTGGTCCACTGGGTCAAGGCCCACTACCGCCTCACATTGTCAGACCCCGCTCCTGCCTCCACCGTACCCACTTCTTCAAGATTGGCCTGGGTCTTGACGTCGCCATCCCTTGTTCAGACCTACAGACCTCGCAGCCACTGAACTGTATAGATTCTCCCTCCTTCCTGACGATCCCGCTGCTCCCACACGCCTCACTGAGCCGCGCCAGCCACCATACACTAGGCCGCGGCGCGTACGTGACGTCACAGGAGCGCGACTCTCCTGCCTTAAGAACATGGCTTTTGCAGTGCAGTTTCGGATCCTCGGCTCTCGGTTACTCCTGGTGCACAGACGAGAGCTGGCAGTGGGCAATCCTGAGGACCCCTTGCCAGTAGTGCGCATTCCGCGGGCCCTGCAGCGGCGGAAGGAACAGCTACACAGCAGGCGTCGGAGTCCCCGACGACTAGTGCTTGTGAGACCTGGACCGCTGCTAGTCTCCGCGCGGAGGCCAGAATTCAACCAGGCCGCACGCCTCACGCTGGGCCGTTGGGAGTGTACGCCGCTCGCCTCACGTGGCTGGAGGCACCGGCGCTCGCGTCAGGATCATTTCTCTATCGAGCGCGCGCAGCAGGATCCGCCAGCGCTGCGGAACACCTCTAGGTGCAGCTTTGAGGATCTGGGTCTGGATCCTCGTCTACTGCATGCACTACAGGAGGCTGTGCCCGAAATCGTTCGGCCCACAACCGTGCAGTCAAGCACCATCCCCTCCCTGCTTCGCGGCCGCCATATCCTTTGCGCCGCGGAAACCGGCTGTGGCAAGACTCTCGGCTACCTATTACCGCTGCTTCAACGGCTTATGGGCCAGCCACTCCTGGATTCCCACCGTATCCCCACACCCCGAGGACTGGTCCTTGTGCCTTCGCGAGAACTAGCTAAACAAGTACAGGCTGTAGCACAGCCGTTGGGCAGCTCCGTGGGCCTACAGGTGAGGGAGCTAGGGGGAGGCCATGGCATGAGAAGGATCAGGGTGCAACTATCGAAACAGCCGTCAGCAGATGTGCTAGTCGCCACTCCTGGAGCTCTGTGGAAGGCCCTGAAAGGTCATCTGGTTAGTCTGGAGCAGCTCTCCTTCATAGTGTTAGATGAGGCAGATACGCTTTTGGATGAAAGCTTCCTAGAACTGGTGGACTACATCTTGGGAAAGAGCCATATAGCTGAAGGCCCAGCTGACTTAAACGACTCGTTCAATCCCAAAGCTCAGTTAGTGCTGGTGGGCGCCACCTTTCCTGAAGGTGTTGGACAGTTGCTAAGTAAAGTCACCAACCCAAACTCTGTAACCACCATCACCAGCACCAAGCTTCACTGTATCATGCCTCATGTCAGACAGACATTTATGAGGCTGAAAGGAGCAGACAAAGTGACAGAGTTGGTGCAGATCCTCAAGCAGCATAACAAAAAACTCAAGACTGGACCCTCTGGAACTGTCCTAGTGTTTTGTAACAATTCCAGCACTGTCAACTGGCTGGGATATATTTTAGATGACCACAAAATCCAACACTTAAGGCTACAGGGAGAAATGCCAGCTTCAATGCGGGCAGGTATCTTTCAGCGTTTTCAGAAGGGCTCCCGGGACATACTTATCTGCACAGACATAGCTTCTCGGGGCTTGGATAGCACCCATGTGGAACTAGTTGTCAATTATGATTTCCCTCTCACTCTGCAGGATTATATCCACAGAGCAGGGAGGGTGGGCCGTGTGGGAAGTGATGTACCTGGCACTGTCATGAGCTTTGTGACCCATCCGTGGGACGTAAGCCTGGTTCAGAAGATTGAGCTCGCAGCTCGTCGGAGGAGAACCCTTCCAGGACTAGTGTCCTCAGTGGAAGAGCCTTTGCCTCAGCGAGCCTGATTTGAGGTGGCTTAAGTGTAATGCTAGAGCAGAGATATTTCTCCATGACCTGGGTGGGCGAACACACTTGTAAGTACAAGGTTTGGGTTTGTCCTATTGTCTCCCTGAGGGCATGAGCTGCTTCTGACTTTGAAAGGTAAACTGTTGGCTAGGGTTGGAGGTTCTTTTTCATGTGACACAAGAATACTAAAGTAAATTTTGAACTTGTATTTTGTATCATGTTGTGATTTCTAAAAATAAATTATATGGGCTGTAATTACCATCGGGGCAGAATTCAGTGGATTCTGAGGATTCCCACTCCAAACCACCACATGTAGGTCAAATGCTCTTTGGTTGTGTTTTGTTTTGTTTTTCTGTTAGTTTTTTCAGGTGTAGAAGGGAATGGTATTTGTTTTGGTTTGTTTGTTTTGTGATGTTAGGATCACAGAATCCAGGGCCTCAGGCATGTGAGGCAAACACTACCACTGAGCTATGTCCCTGCCTAATGGTTTGCTTTCTTACCACTGGAGAGTGTAATGATAAGGTTATCATTTTATCATGAATGTGTTTTGAATTTCACATTAAAGTCTGTCATTCCCACTTTGTAAAATCATTGGAGACCCTCATTTTGCCTTCAGCATACTGACCATTATTCCCAGGGTCTGTCAGCATAAAATGTGTTTGGCTTATCTTCTCATTACTTTTAACTACAAATCTGGAGCCCCAAGATAAGCAATATGAAGCCCCTCTGTTGAGCACAACTCCTCTCTACTGCCAGTGTGACTTTAAGTAGGCCTATTTACCTCTTTTTTGAGACATAAGTTGTAAAAACATGAAGGTCCTTTTTTTTTTTTTTTTGGTACCTGGGATTGAACTCAAGTCCTTGTGGAAGCTTCTTTTTTTTTTAATTTGCTATTTTAAAAGTATTTTTTATTGGTACATTTTAGATAGACAATACAGTTTACATTCATCATTGGGATCTTGTACCATTACATGACATATCTTGGTTCTTATTTTTTCCCCATATCCCTAGCCTCTCTTCCCCCTTTAATTTGCTTTTGAGACAGGGTCTTACGGTGTAGTTCATGCTGGCCTTGAGCTCCTTGATCCTCCTACCTCAGCCTCCTGAATGCTAGGATTACAGGTGTATGCCCCCATGCCTGGCAAACATTCATCTGTGTATGTACACATGGGCAGAACAAGGCCAAGAAAGTCTGTTTTGTTTTTATTTTTTCCCGATTAGAAGTGTTGAAATCTCATTTAGGTTTTAGGCCCACCTCCAAGGAGTCATTGCCTGAGCCTAATCCACCCAACTGTGTACTCTCCAACTGTGGTATACTAGGATCAAGAGCCACACAGACTGTGCCTTAAGTTAATCTTGCCTCTCAAGAGCCAATTCAATCTCAGAATTTGGGATTTTTTTGCCCCACTATGCTCACTGGGGACGTGCCCAGCACAGGAGGTGGCTACTTGGTGAGGTTAGGGGTAAAGAAGCCAAGTAGGAAGGCCCAGGTAGAAAGGCTTCTTCTGCCTTCTCACTGCTGTCCACCAAATGCTGAGGGCCTGAAGCCTGCCCATCAACTTAGATTCCAAATGTTACTTCAATGGGTGGTGATGACATCTCAGGCCTGGTATCCATGGTAGGGAAATTATTCAAATGTAGGAACACTTCCTTCTCCACTAGACATCAGCCTGTGTGAATGTCTAGAAGAGAATGTCTGACTGGATCGTGAACATTCATGCTAACATTCATCTGTACCCTGGGTGGCCATTGAAGCAGGTTAGGCATTGCATCAGGCTAGGCATCTGTGCAAGAGACCTTGGTATATATACAACCTCAAGGACTTTCCTCCCTGCATTCTATAATCCTTTCTTGGGCAGAAGAAACACCTGTCTGCACACTGCAAGGCAAAGAGGTGTCAAGTACAGAGTGGTCTGGCTGAGGCCTGATCAATTTGATGTGCTCCTGCCCTGAGTCATTGCCAGCAAGCAAGCACAAATCAGGAAGGTGCAGGCTTCAAACTAGAGAAGATAAGCACAAGCCACATAGGATCCCTCCTGCCTGTGATCTCAGGTGACAGAATAATGAGCCTCAGGGAGACGTGCTGTCTGTAGCAGGAATGCATGCACGAAGTCCAAGATCATGCCTATGAGGCTTCAGTGGTTCTTTCTTTCTAGCCCATTATGGACTCTGTAGTTTCTATTGCTCAGTAAAATGTTTTTTGTTATTGTTTTTGTTTGTTTTGGTACCAGGGATCAAACTTGGATCCTTGTGCTTGTGAGGCAGGCAGCAGAACCACTGAGCTAAAACCCCAGCAATAAGATGTTTTTCTGTAACAGTTTTTGTTGGCCAATCTTCAAACTTCTCAGTTCCTTGAAATAATTCTTACCTATATTCATACACAAAGAACCTACTGTTCTAAGGTTTTTCTGCCTCAAAAGGGACCCTTCGGGTTTTCTGTTTTTGTTTTTTGAGACAGGGTCTTGCTGTATAGTTAAGGAAGACTTGAACTCACTACGTAGCCCAGGCTGGCTTCAAACTCATGGCAATCCTCCTGCCTCAGCCTCCTGAGTGCTGAGATTGCAGTCATGCACCACCACACCCAGCTGACCCTTGGGTTTTATTTCTAACAGAGTGATGCCTGCAATTATGCCTGGCCAATTGGAGCAAGATCCAGGCCAGTTCCTTAAGAAATAGCCTTGGGTTGGAGGTATAGGATAGAGCATCTATTTAGCATGTATAAGGCCCTGGGTCCAATACCTAACACTACAAAAGTAAACAAGAGCCTCTTGAGTGTTTCTGTGAGCATGTGTGTGTTAGGAAAAGAGCAGGACTAAGAGGATGCTGGATCATCTGTCAGTCTACCCATCCATCTGTCCATTCATTCACCGAGTACTTACTGAGCATCTGTTCTCTATAAGCCACTGTGCTAGTTGATTGGGATATGTTTATGAATGAAACAGTTGAACCCTCCCTGCCCCAAATCACCCACGATTAAAGGATGAGAGAAAATTACAATATTAGGGTCTTAGGTTGTAGCTCATTGGTAGAGAACCTAACATAGCCAAGTCCCTGCTTTCAACCACCAGCACCACTAAAATTTAAAAATTATTATAATTGCTATAATGGAAAATAATACACTGAGAATAGATGGATGCCATGTCACATAGGTAGTTGGGATGGGTTCTTTGAAGAGGGGACATTTCAGCAGAGATGGGAGCAAGGAATCATGAGGATCTGTAGGGACAGCATTTCTGAAGGAAATACATGTGAGAGGGACAGGAGCAAGAAGAGGAAGAACTTGGTGAACTTCCATCTGCCTTTGCCAGGTGGGCACTGCCTTTGTGTGCCCTGCACCTCACTTTCCTCACCTAGAAAGTGAGGCTGGTTAAAAAAAAAAAAAAAAAAAAAGCAAACAAAAACAAAACCTCCTTTGTGGACAGCACTGAATGCGCTAACATGTTAAACTGGTAGCACAGTTCAGGTCATACAGTTACTTGGATGCTCACATAATCATCCTTAGCTCTGTGAGGAAAAGGGATGCTGCAGGCTGCTGAGCTCTAAATGTATTCACTCTTCAATGAATGTCATTTGTGTTTGTGTGTCCAGGTGTGGTGCCTGGTGTCAGAATAAGGTGACATGGCCTCCCTGAGTTCACTTCCCAAGTGAGCAGGGGGCAACCACCACAGACTGCTTGGAAGAAGAGGAAGGAAAGGTCTCAGAAAAATCTGTTCCAGACAGCAGAGAGGCTTCCTCATGTCCCTATTTATAATACATCTCCAAAAAAAGGGTTTGGGTACACAGAGTTCTCTATGATCTTTCCCCGCTCTGGGTAACTGAATATCACAGTCTGAGAGGTTGGAAGGTTCTGAGTTTCAGAACCATCCTCAGCATCATGCTGGAAACAGCACCTACACTCCAGGCCACTCTGATTTTCTTTCTTGCCCCAACTTCATTACCTCAAGGATAAAGCTCAGAGCCTGACATAGTGGCCTAACTCATGTAATCCCAGCATTTTGGGTCTGTGAAGCACAAGAATTGCTAGTTCAAGCACAGCCTGGGCAAGAAAATGGATAACTAGCTAGGATATACCCTGTATAACCCTAAAATTCAACTCCTAACACCACAGAAACAAATGCCAGCTTTAAAGAAGGTATCCTCCAGGGCTCCCATAAGGGCTCCTGATATATAGCCTATAAAGGTTCAGACAGCAACCAGGAGAGCTGGTTGTTCATTATGAATTGCCCCCAACCTGCATGGATACATCCGCAGAACAGGGATGGCAGGCTATGTGGGGAGTGAGGGGCCACCACTATCTGCTTTGTGACCCATCCCTGGGTTGGAAATCACCTGGCTCAGAAGACTGAGCTCGCAGCTTGTAGAAGAAGAAGTCTTCCCAGCCTGGTGTCCTCAGTGAAGGAGCCTTTTTTGGGTTACTTAAATGTGAGGTACAGCAGGGGTCTTTCTCAGGATCCTGGGTTAGGAGGCACCCTTGTCAGTAGAAGGCATTGGCCTGACCTGTCACCTCCCTGGAGCTGTGCCCACCCACAGGCGTACTTCACAGGGACTGGCTACTTGATGAAGATGTGAATAGGGAGGCCAGAGAGGAAGCCTCAGGTAAGGTTCCTCTGCTTTCTCCCCGTGCTCTTCCACCAAACACTGAGGCCCTGAAAACTTCCCTTCAACTCACAGATTCTGATTGTGATGTCCCTGGATAGTGATGACATCACAGATCTCCTTGTTTCCTTGGCAGGGAAACTACTCAAATGTGGGAAAACTTCCCTACCAGTTCTTTAGTAGACACACGTCTTTGGTTGCCTGGAGGAGGATGTCTGACCAGATCTCCTACATTCAGGCTAAGTTGCCACCTTTCTCCTGGGAGTGCAATCCAGCTGGTAAGCCTGGACCAGGCATCTCTATAACTCTATATTGGTTCTTGGGGAACAACAGACTCCTGGGCCATTACATATTCTTTTTGTGATTCCCCCCTATACCTCAAAACTTCCCCAGAAATAAGTAAGACCAACAACCTGGTGCCTGACCACCCAGAGATATACAGTGTTCTCCCACGAGGCAAAGGTCATGTAATTTCAGAGCTAGTGTTTAGAAGTTCTAATTTTTATCAGTTTAACCTTCCTCTTTGTATTATAAGGCTTCCTTCGCAACTGGGTGTCATGGAATGCTTCTAGAGTCTTAGGTTACTTAGGAAGCTGAAGGAGAAGGATCATATTTACCAGGAGTTCAATGTTCGATAGCAGCCTGGGATATGTAGTGAGATGCCAACACACACACACACACACACACACACACACACACACACACACACACGTTTCCTCAAATCCTTCCTTGATTAGACTTAGCAAATGCCACACGTGCTTTTCTGGTCAAGTGATAAGTGGAAAAATTTAAGGAATAATTATTGAAGGCCTCTTGTGCAGCTAACCTTGAGGCTCAGGCCTCTCTCTGTACCTTGTTGTCATGGAAGACACTCATGGGTCCCCTCTAATACATCCCATTTTTTATTACTGACTACTGGGGCAAGGGTGGTATCATATAGCTGGGTCAGAAAAGCCTGAAGGGAGATAAAGTGCTACTGAGAGAGGAGGTTTGGGGAAAAGGCATTCCATGTTTGGCTTGGTATGAGAAAGCATGTTAAGCCTACCAGTAGTAATCAAACACTGAAGGTGTCCTGTTTTCAATTATTTTTAGGTTCTCCTTTCTGTGGGCATGGGGAACACATTTTCTTCTGTCTCACTATAGATGGTTTCACAAAAGCAAGGAGGTATTATAGGCAGGCATCAGTTCCTAGGGGCCCTATAGAAGTGAAGGCCAAGTCTATGTTTGGGAGGCCAAGTAGATGAGTGGGCTTCAGCCAGGAAGGCCCATGAGAGAGGGAGGTCCTGGCAGCACAGTGAATAAAGGCGGAGTGACTGATCAGTTCTCATTTTCTCCCTAGCAGCAGTGCTGCCCACAGCTCCTCCTATACCTGTTTACTACCATGTCCGGTACCGAGGATGTACAGAAACCCAGGTGAGCTGGCACGGAGAGACTTACTGCCTGGTTGGTGGCTACCGGGCCTATGGGGATGCTGCCATTGCCACCCCAGCAAAGGCCAGAGAAGAGAAGCCAACATCCAGGTGGGTCTATGTGGATGCTTGTATTATCAGCCCAGCAAAGATCGAAGCACAGAAGCCAGCATACATGCGGGTTCCCAAGAAACCTTGAGCTATTGTAGAGTCTCTCTCCAGTGAAAATAAGCCATTGCTTCCCACAGGCTGGCTGGCTGTTGTTGTTTTTCTGATTTGGAGGAATTATTTTGCTGTAGAAGTCATAATCCTTTATACTCACGAGTGACTCTGAACTTTGTTCTCTTTATATTTCTTTAGCGGGGTGTAGGAAAATGGAATGAATAATTGGACAGAACCTATACCCTTCAGGGCAAGGTTATACAATACAATTTACTGATCTGATTTTTGTATCTTTCTATGGGGAATAATCCTCTGCCTCAAGAAAGGGTAGTCATGGGCTGGGTATTTACCAAGCCACCTGCCTTGCAAGTGCAAGGTCTCAAGTTCAAGCCGCTGTACAAAAAAAAAAGTTTGTCGTTACATAAGGCTTTCTTACGTCATAAGACAGGGTCTTGCTGTGTGGTTTAGGCTGGCCTGTAACTCACTACATATCCCAGGCTGGGCTCAAACTTGTGGCAATAGTCCTACCTCAGCCTCCCAAGTGCTGGGATTATAAGCATGCACCGCCATGCCTGGCATAAGGCTTTTTAAGGATGTCAGAATGTGACATTAGGGCATGATCATCATGGCACTTCTGGGAACCCTGGAGAGTAGAAAATTTTGTTGTGTGGTGCACTCAAGTCTTCACCTCTACCAGGCATTACTGAGGGTGGACTTTGCATAAACTCTGCCACCTGGCCTCTAGGCCACAAAGTTTCCTGGACAAGAAATATTTGTCTTCCTGGACAAGAAATATTTATAACAATACTAATTTTGATGAGTCATTTCTCTTATTTTCTTTGAAGAGGAAAGATGGATAAACTCTCTCTACTAGCTTACCACTGGTTACTCAATATGTTCCATTATAGAATTAAGATCTTTCCCCTCCTGTGTTACCTCAGGCTGTGCCAACTCATAAGTTTTCTCCATGGGAAAAGCTACTTGACCAGGATATGGGTAAGGGAGCCAGATAAAATGGCAGGCAGGGTTCCTCTGCCTTCTCCATGCTCTAGTTCACCAAACACTGTGGCCTGAAGCTTGCCAATCAGTTCACAGATTCCATCTGGGTAGTGATGACATCACAGGCCGCCTGGTTTCCATGGCAGGGAATCTACTCAAATGTGGGGAAACTTCCCAGCAAGTTCTTTACTAGACACCAGTCTGGTTGCCTGGAAGAGAATGTTTGCCTGGATCCTCTATATTCAGGCTCACTTGTTCTCTGACCCCTGGGAAGGCAGTATAGCAAATACCCTAGGCAAGCATCTCTATAAGAGGCTTTGGTGTACACATGTCAGTGGACATCACAATTCTCTTGTCTTCTTCGCCGTTCCTCCAAACTTCCCCAGTCATGAGTAGTACCAGAACCTAGTGCCAACTCAGGCACCCGAATGTTTTCTACGCAATGCGCAGGCTAGGAACATGTCATCTCTGAGCAAGTGTTTAGAAAAGCCCATCTATCAATTTAGGCTTCCCCTTTGGGGGTACAAGGAACTTCATATTTGTGCATAGTGGATGTATCAATAGTCCCATATATTTGTGAAACTGAGGTGGGTAGATCTCTTCAGGCCAGGAATTCAAAACTACTCTGGGCTATATAGTAAGACTCGATCTCAAAAAAAAAAAAAAATAAAAAAAAAAAAAAAAAAAAAAAAAAAAAAAAAAAAAAAAAAAAAAAAAAAGAAAGAAAGAAAAAGATGCTTCCTTCAGACCCCTTCTTGATTATACTCAGTGTAAACAAAATGTGTTTTATAGTCAAATGATAAGTGAAGTTTGAGGAAGAGCTGCTGAGGCCTCTCATGAACCTTACTTGACACTTAGACATGTTACCATGCTGTTATGAAGACACATGCATGGGCTGCTACTGACATCTCCCAGTCAGAGCTGCTGAGAACTGGGGCAAAGGTGGTGCCATACATCTGGGACAGAAAAACCTGGAGAGAAAGTGCTGCTGAGACTGGAACTCTGCAGAAAAATCATCCAAGGAAGTTTTCTTGATATGAGAAAGCATGCTGAGTCTAATAAGATTGGAGTTGGGACTTTTCAATTTTCAGGTTCTCTATGGGAATGGGAGACATATTCTGGTCATTTGTTGCTGTTGGTTCCAGGGAAGCCAAAGGCTATTGCAGCAAGCATCTCTTCCTACGTGACCTATAGAAGAGACAGGCCAAGGCTGTGTTTGGGATGTTAAGTAAATTAGTGGGCTTCAGCCAGGAAGAACATATGCTGGTAGCACAATGAATAAAGGAGAAGGGATTGATCAGTTCTGGTTTTCTTCCTAGCAGCACTGGAGCCCACAGCTCCTCCTACTCCTGTTTACTACAATGTCCTCTACCGAGGATGTAGAGAAACCCTGGTGGGCTGGTGTGGAGAGACTGACTGCCTGGTTGGCTGCTACTGAGTCTATGGAAATGTTTCCATCACCACCCTAGCAAAGGCCAGAGTTGAGAAGCCAAAATCCATGTGGGCTGCCAGCAGACCTCCATCTATGGGAGAATGCCATAAACCAAAAAGATTGCCATAATCCTATTATTTGCCATGTTAACAGTGGTAACAAAACCCCGTGGCAGCGTTAGGTGAGCCACCCTGTTGAGAGGATGAACATTGAGTGGTCTAGGACAGCTAGTGCCTCTTCTCCAGTGTTCGCCACTGCCAGTCCCTGGAGATATAACCTGGGCCATTCTGCCTCATCCTTTCTCAGCAAAGATCCCTCTTCAGTGCCAACCAGCTATGGGAAAGACACTGGGGTTGAAAGTAGGCTGTGAATATCAGGGCTTAAGCTGGCTGGAAGTAGACCTGGTGCTCCTCTGCTCAATCCTCTACATTCACTTCTTGTTCAGAAGAAACATCTGTCTGCACTCTGCAAGCCAAGGAGGAGTCAAGTGCACAGTAACCTAGCTGGAGCCCCATCTCTACCATTGCAGACTTGTCCTGCCATCTCACTCCACACCCCAGCAGAGAGTCAGCACCAGTAGGTGATAAGCAACGGATATCTAGACAAATGGATGGAAGTAAGCGAGTGGAGGTCCTTCCTGGAGAGAGGAACAGCAACTGGAAGTAGTGGAAGAATTCAGGGAATCTCCTTCTCCCTTGATCAGTTGGGCATCAATGTGGTCAATGCTTGCTCTGAACCTCAGTTTTCTTGCCTAGAAAGTGAGGCTAGAAAAATAATCCTTTGTGGGCTGCACCTAATGGGCTCATACACATTGAACTGGTCACATAGCTCTGGGTACAGTCATTGTGCTACTCACTTAGTTCCCTTTACCACTTGTTCTCACTCCAAAGATGGGAGGCAGCAGCCTTCTGAGCTCCAAGTACACTCACCCCTCAAAGAATACCGTTTGTGTACTTGATGTGTGCCAGTGGCATAGTTCCAGATTTCAGTATTCAGGGGACTTTGCTGAGTCTGCTTTACACCATGTATATGGAAAACCACCACAGATTGGTTGAAGGAGAAAGAGAAAGGAGGCATCCCAACAAAATCTGATCCAAACAATTGAGAGGCTTCTATATTTCCCTGTTTGTGCAGAAGGCACAAGAGACCTGTCCCTTCCCCAGATAACTATCACAGTGCAAGACATTGAGAGGTTCTGAGTCTCAGGACCATCCTCGAGGGTCGTGCTGGAAACAGCACCTTCAATCCAGGCCACGGTAATTTTCCACCCCCAGATTCATTACTTCCAAGACATAGCCACAAAGCTAGGCATGGTAGCCCACACATGTAATCACAGTACTCTGGGACTCTAAAATAGGAGGATTCCAAGTTGAAGAATACCATGGCCAATTTAAAAACTGGGCTACTGACTACCATATAAGTGTGACCATAAAATCTGACACCCAATCAGGGACAAATGCCTGCATTAATTAGGGGAGATATCTTCTAGTTCTTCCAGAAGGGCTTTGGGGACATACTTCTCTGCACAGGTATAGTCCCTAAGGGAGACTATCAATTATGATCTTCTCTTGAGCCTGCACAACTTAGCCACAAAAGCAGGGAGAGTGGATCATGGGAGAAGCAAGATGCTAGGCACCATCATCAGCTTTGTGACCCACCTTTGGAACAAGAGTTTAGTCCAGAAGATTGAACAGGTAGTTCATCCAAGAAGTTTTCCAGTGCCCTCAGTGAGGGAGTCTTCATCACAAAAATTCTGATTTTGGGTGGCTTAAGTGTAAGGCCAGAGAAGGATTTTTCTCAGGTTCCTGGGTGGGAAAGCAGCCTTGTCAGTAGGAGGCATTTGGCTGCCCTGTTGCCTCCCTGAAGGCCTAGTGAGCAGCTTTTAGCTCTAAAAGAGAAGCTGCTGGCCATTATTTCAGGGTTGTCCTTCATGTGACACATGAAAACAAATGTGGAATTTGGATTTTGAATTTTGACTTTGTATCAGGTCATGATTTCTAACAATAAATTATCTTTACCTGGGTTCTCATTGAAATTACAATTGGTGTAGGATTCAGTGGATTTTGAGGAGTTACACAACAAACCAAGTGGAGGTCAGAGGGTTTTTGTGTGTCTTTTCTATGGGAGAGGATTGAAGTGACAAGACCGTCATTTTGAATTATGTCACTTTCTCGTGAAGAAGAATTTATTTTTTGGTACCAGGGATTGAACTCAGTACCTTGCATTTGCGAGACAGGTGGCGGAACCACTCAGCTAAATCCCTGGCCCAAGAATTTCATTTTTAAATGGACCTGTATCTCCAACACTGTAAAGCTTCCCCTTATTTTCTATTGGAGCACTTAGAACCTCTGTTGAAGTTAGTGACCCTTCAAATATGCTGAGCTTGTCCTCACATTACTATCAGCTATAAATATGGAGCCAAAATAAATAACATGAAGCACTACTGTTGAGCACAACTCGTTTTTGCTACCTGTGTAATGTTCAGAAGGCTCCTTAACCTCTTAGTTTTGCTGAGACCTCAACTGTGAAAACATGAAAGGTCAATAAATGAATACTTGAGGAAAAGCAAGGGCAAGAAACCCTTTTTAGCTTTTATTCTTCCCAATAAGATTGTCTTTGCATTGCACATGTCCAAATCTCATTATGCTTCAGACCCACCTCCAAGGAGCATTCTCTGAATCCCTAATCCACTCACATCTCTGCTTCTCCAACTGTTGAATGCTTAGGGCCAGAGCTACACAACCTACTTCTTAGGTTAATCTTGACCCTCCTGCCAATCTCAGAATTTGAGATTGTCTTGTCCTCCTGTGCTCACTGAAGCTACATTCATACCCTGGTGTGCTCCACCAAAAGTGGCTACTTGAAGAGAATGTGAGCAAGGAGGCCAGATAAGAAGGTCTAGGCTGGGTTCTTCTCATTGATCTCTGCCACCAAATACTGAGAGCCTGAAGACTGTCCAAGTCACGAATCCACATGTCACCTCACTGGGTAGTGATGGCATCACAGGTCTCCTGGTATAAATGT